CAAAAGATGCACGATTTCTAAGTTGCAATAATCTATTTTGTATATATGATCTGAAGTACAGTAAAGACTTTATGTTGTGTGTCTGTGTGTGTGTGTGTGTGTGTGTGTGTGTGTATTTGTTTTTTTATTTTATCTTTTTTTGAGACACAGTCTCAGGCTGGAGTGTCACCAGGCTGGAGTGCAGTGACACAATCTCGGCTCACTGCAACCTGCGCCTCCCAAGTTCAAGCAATTAGCTGCCTCAGCCTCCTGGGTAGCTGGAATTACAGAAGCCCACCACCATACCAGCCTAATTTTTGTATTTTTAGTAGAGACGGGGTTTCACCATCTTGGCCAAGCTGGTCTTGAACTCCTGACTTTGTGATCTGCCCGCCTCAGCCTCCCAAAGTGCTGGAATTAAAGGTGTGAGCCACCGCGCCTGGCCTATGCTATATATGTATATTTAAATTGTAGTTTACAAAGAGAAATATATTACTAGCCTCATCACAGCAACAAAATTATTCTAAAGTCTAGATTTTTCATTTTTACTTTTAAATGTCCTCTCCTTCCTGTACTCCTCTCACTCTCTACCTTTAACAGCCACAGTTGTAAAAAACAAAAGTAAAACCAAAACCACTTCATTTTGTTACTTATGACAGCCTTCATAGAAAAACCAATGGAAGGAAGAAATGAAAGGCATATACATTTCTATTTTTTCAATTCCAGACATAAAACTAAACATGGAAAAGAAGATGAAACAGTCACTAAAATCCTTAGGCTTCCTTTCAAACATTAATCCTTAATTAATCCAATTAATTCTTAAGAAGTTTGCTACACAACAACTGCAGATTTAAAGCTCTTTATATTAGTTTAACATTTTATACTTACTGTAAAATATTCAAAAAGTACATAAAATATATACGTATTTTTATAAAGCAATAATTAATAATTAAAAGCAAACACCAAGTCCAGAAATAGAAGCCAGCATCACAGAAGCAGAAGAAATCTCCTTAAACACACCTCCGCCATGCCCTTCTTCAGTTATTACAGCTTTAATGTAAATTTCACAAGTTAACACGCTATGAATGAAATGAAACAGTGCCAAAAGAGGAATATTTGGCTGGGCGCGGTGGCTCACACCTGTAATCCCAGCACCTGAGAGGCCGAGGTGGGCAAATCACTTGCGGTAAGGAGTTTGAGACCAGCTTGGCCAACATGGTGAAACCCTGTCTCTACCGAAAATCCAAAAACTACCAGGGCGTGGTGGCATATGCCTGTAGTCCCAGGTACTCGGGAGGTTGAGGCATGCGAATTGCCTGAACCTGGGAGGTGGTGGTTACATGAGCCAAGATCATGCCACTGTACTCCAGCCTGGGCAACAGAGTGAGACCCTCTCTCAAAACAAACAAAAAATAAATTTGAAAAAAAAAAAAAATTGCCAAATCCTGCTAATAAACAATTTTTAAGAACCCTTGATTTCAGCCAGGCACAGTGGCTCACACCTGTAATCCCAACACTTTGGGAGGCCGAGACGAGCTCAACAGATTGAGACCATCTGGCCAACATGGGGAAACCCCATCTCTACTAAAAATACAAAAATCAGCTGGGTGTGTTGGTGTATGCCTGGAGTCCCATCTACTAGGGAGGCTAAGGCAGGAGAATTGCATGAACCTGGGAGGCGGAGGTTGCAGTGAGCCGAGATCTCACCACTGCACTCCAGCCTGGCAACAGAGTGATACTCCATCTCAAAAAAAAAAAAAAAAAAAAGACCCATTTATAAGCCAGGCACGATGGCTCATGCCTGTAATCCCAGCCCTTTGGGAGGCCAAGGAGGGAAGACAGCTATTGCTTTAGCCCAGGAGTTCAAGACCAGCCTGGGCAAAAATGGTGAAACCCTGTTTCTACAAAAAAAAAAAAAAAAAAAAAAACTAGCCAGGCGTGGTAGCACATGCGTGTAGTCTCAGCATCTTGGGAAGCTGAGGTGGGAGGATGGGTGTAGCCTGAAAGGTCGAGGATACAGTGAGCTGTGACAGTGACACTGCACTTACAGCCTGGCTTTAAAAAAAAACAAAAAAAAACAACAACAAACAAAACGCTTTATAAACAAGCATTTCTACTCCAGAACACAAACACTGAATATGCAAACCAAATATAATTTATTTACAACTTAAAACTAAGCCAAACAATTGCTTCCCTTGCACTAAAAATCTTTTCTTCCACCGATCCCACCTATATGTATGTCAGACACTTATTTCTCACTGTGGGTAATAACTTGTTGTCCCTGTGAGTAATGACTTGGTAAAGCTCTAGAATAATATCTGGAGATTTGACAAACAGAAAAATATACAAGTGTATTAAACATCCAAGGTGTTTTGTTAAGTACACTGATAATGACAGAATAGCAAACAATCACAGGGAGTATCAGCTTTAAATCTCTAGATATGTCTTATACAAATTTCCTCAAATCTATCAAATTTCATCAAATTTATCAATTTGATGGAATATTATTGCAACCATTAAGACTAAACATTATAAAGTTACGTAACAGAAGATTTTGTAATACAGCATAAATTTTAAACATACATTTATATCTAGCTGTAAGACATCATATATGTGGGCAAAGACTTAAAGAATACAATAAGAAATGAATACTTAGTGTAGTTGTGGGGACTTCTCCAAACCTCCATATGTTTACAAAGTAAATAAAAATTAGAAAGTCTGGTTGGGCACAGTGACTCATGCATGTAATCCCAACACTTTGGGAGGCCGATGTGGGTGGATCACTTGAGGTCAGGAATTTGAGACCAGCCTGGCCAGCATGGCAAAACCCCATCTCTACTAAAAATACAAAAATTAACCGGGTGACGTGGCGGCACCTGTAGTCCCAGCTACTTGGGAGGCTGAGGCAAGAGAATCGCTTGAACCCTCAAGGCAGAGATTGCAGTAAGCTGAGATCGCCCCCCTGCACTCCAGCCTGGTTGACAGAATAAGATTCCATCTCAAAAATAAATAAATATCAGAAGGTCAAAAACGTAAGGATTACTCTCTCTAAAGAACTGTAAAACTATCATCAGCACCTGAGTAATCATCTCATATTTATAATGTACACTAACCACACAAAAACTTGCTATATATTACCCGTTTCAAGCATGCTTCTGGGCAAGGTCACCAGATAAATGGGAAACAAGGTCCTGTCTGAGTATTCTGATTAAGAAGAGAGAAAAAAATGACTACCTCATAGCAAAGTGACAGAGGTATTATAACCAATGGCATGTTTTACTGCCATCTCCAGGTATCCAATTTTACATTACTTTTTACCCAACTTAACCACCATATCCAATTTAAGCCCAGAAAGTTACAATACAAATGTTATCTCCTGGTAACTTAAGTGACAAGGATAATGATTATATCAGTTTGAACTACTTTTCATTGCATCAGATATTACATTGCTGCAACAGTGAAAGACATTTAGATTCAAGGATACCCTGAGATATCCAATTTCTAGACACAAGAATAAGGCTTCCATTATTCACTTTATGTCTGCCTTTTAAAGGCTATATGAGTCAAAAGCTTGATAAGATAATCCTGAGATTACTGGCACTATCTCAAAATGTACAATTAGTTTGGATTCTATTAATGTGACATAAAAATTGCCCTTAGCACCTAGGTTTTTTGCAGAAAGTAACAAACTAATCCTAAAATTCAGAGTGAAATGCAAAGAATCCAAAAAGAGCCAAAACAAACTTGAAGAAGGACAGTTACAGGACACACACTTCCTGATTTTAAAGCTTACCACAGAGCCACAGGAACCAAGACTGTGTGGTACCAGCACAAGGACAGACATATAGATCAGTGGAGTAGAATTGAGAGGCCAGAAACAATCCTTACATCAATTGATTTTGAAAAGGTGCCAAGACAATTCAACAGGGATAGAAGAGTATTTTCAACAAATGGTGCTGGGACAGCTTGCAATCCACATGCCAAACAATGAAGCTGAACTCCTACCTTACACCACATGTAAAAATTAACTGAAAATGGGTATTCACATGGAAAATAATCAAATTAGACCCTTAATTTACATCACATACAAAAATTAACACAAAATGGGAATGGTCATAGTATAGGAGGTAAAGCTATACAATTCTTAGAAAAAACATAAATCTTCTTGATCTTAGATTAGCTTCTTAGATATGATCCCAAAAATAGAAGAAAAGAAAAAAATGATAAACTCGACTTCATCGAAATTAAAAACTTTTGAGCTTCAAAGTATACCATCAGGAAAATGAAAAAAAAAAAAAAAAAACCCACAAAATCGGAGAAAATATTTGCAAGTCATATATTTGATAAGGAATCTGCATCTAAAATATATAAAGAATGCCTAAAATTCAATAATAAAGACAAAAAATTTGAATAGATGTTTCTCCAGAGAAGATACACAAATAGCCAATAGACAAATGAAAAGACCCCCTCTGCTAATTGTACTATGAAAGTGATACTCCTATCCACTGCTGGCAGCATAGTAAATTGCTACAATTAATCTACAGGAAAATGATTTTATGGCAAAAGTTTGTAAAAGATTTTAAAACAAATGTTTTGTGCTCTTTGACTTAGTCATCTAATTTCTGGAAATCACCTAAAGACACAATATCAAATATGGGAAAATATATATACATATAAAATTATGTTGCCACAATGCAATTCAGGGTAAAACTGGATGCAACCTAGATATTTGAGAATATGGGAACCATTATATTCTCAAAATCTAGTCATGGAATACTATACATTCCTATATAATGCTGACAATGGTATGAAAATATAACAGAAAATGTGTATAATAAAAGGATAAAACAAAATTCAATATTAACTCCTAATTATATTTACCTAAAATATACATATAAAATAATAGCAAATTTATAACTAAAAGATAATTATCTTAATGTGGCAGAATTATGGGTATTTTTCTCAAATCTTCTTATAGTGTTGTCAATGATATTTTCATAAAGAAATAAGCATATTTTTACCTTATCCCAGAAATCAATCAAAGCTGTAAAGTCCCATTTCTTAGAATATGCGACATTGTATTTCAGAATAGCATCCTGTGGAAAATGCAGAAATAAAACATCATGATATGGCCAAGTGAATGAACTATGAAGAGCCTGTCTTTTTTATGAACTACTTCCAGTACATTCCAAAATGTTAGACAAGCTTCCTACTACCTCCTCCTACTACTGATACAGACACCAATAGTTACAGACAAACATAATGAATACAAATTTATTATTCACTTAGAAAAATGAGATTAGAAAGGTCAACTAATAGGTGAAAAACATAGTTACACCCTAAAGCCTGCATTCTAAATAGGGTAATATACTCCAAACAGACAAAAACTGGATCTTGAGGGATAAAAAAATAGACTTAGATATCACAATTGTTGGTGGTCCTTGAAAGCGTCACATTATACATACACAAAGATACATAGTATATTTGTAGTATGAAAATTTCATGGGTCAGTTAATAGGGCTGAGATATAAATTTTTTTTTGTAAAAAAAAAAAAATAAATAAAATTTTCATGGGGACGAGGAGATTAGGAAAAAAATATTTTAAATGGCTCCTGGGATAGAGGGAAAGAATGAAAAACGGATGGAGAAACACTGGTCTAAAGTATAAAACGGTCTTTTTTCCTATACTATAAGGTATTTTTATACAATATATACAAATAATTATCTTCCTCCAGCAATTCACATAAAGTACACATATAGGTAGAATGAAAAGTCAAAATATTATGCCATCTACTGGTGTAGCTTTTAACCATTTGAATAGGCAATAGAAAGAGCCTTTATTTTTCGCTCACAAGTCATAACATAACATTTTCTATTAAGAATTAAGAGATTATGGCCTGCACGGTGGCTCATGCCTGTAATCATAGCACTTTAAGGCAGGTGAATTGTTTTGGAGTCCAGGAGTTCGAGATTAGCCTGGGCAACATGGCAAGACCCCTAGAAAAAAATACAAAAATTAACCAAGTGTGGTAGTGCATGCCTGTAGTCCCAGCTATTTGGGGGGCTGAGGTGGGAGGATTACTGGAGCCCCGGAGGTTGAGATTGCAGTGAGCCGAAATCACACCACTGCACTCCAGCCTGGTTGGCAGAGTGAGATCCTGTCTCAAAAACTAAATAAATAAGTAAAAGAAAGAAAGAAAAAACATGAAAAGATTTTAAGATTTTTTTTTTTTCCAGTCACTGGTATCTAATTTCAAAACCTCATAAAGTATTAAATAGAAATGTCTATCAATAGGTGAATGAATAAACAATGCATATACTGGAGCAAACTACCAATACACTGAACAACCTGGCTGAATCTCAAAAACCTTCATTTTAAGTGAAATGAAGCCAGACATACCTACTATGATTCCATTCATGTAGAATATATAGTGAAAAGAACAGATCAGTAGTTGTCTGGGGCCAGAGCAGAAAGAAGAATAGACTGCAAAGCTGGTAGAGAAATCTTTGGGGATGACACAAACATTCTGTATCATGATTACAATGAACACTTCATGGGTATGTGTAAATGTCAAAACTTATAAAATGACGCATTTTAAAAGGATATACTTTGTTATCCATAAATTATGATTTCTCAAAGCTGGTAAGGACAAACATTTTAAATAGCAATTGCAATCTAATTCTTCACTGTAATTCTCTAATTCTTTTAGTGTTTTATAATTAGCATTAAGCTCTAGCTCATCTTTATTTTTACTTCAGTCTTCAAGTCTCAAAAGTAGTCTACCATGAGGTTGCCTCTCATTAGAAAAACTGGATACTACTCTGTACTCTTATCAACTACTGAGTAAGTTCTTTTTCGTGCATAATTCATAATAAGCACAAAAAAATTCTTTCTGTGCAAATTGTCACATATATTATTTATATAAGTACTACTGTGTAAATCAACTTTTGAGGACGCTATTACTCTTAAAATTATGAATGTCTAATCCTTGTAAATCCAACATCAAGTACTATATAAACAGCAAAAAGATCATTATAGTCAATCAGAGGGATTTAACGTTTCCCTCTTCCTCTCTCAAAGCATTCTTTTAGCAAAGGAAATAATTACCACAAGCTGATAGAAAAATATCTCAATGGATTACTCTGTTCTATTGAATCTACCATAAGAGAAATGTGAAAAGAAAATTCAGATTAAAGCAATTACCCCTTCCTGAAATAATCATGGTGCATTAAGGAACTGCTAGAGAGGTAAGCAGACTGCGTAATTTAGAACACTATAATTTTTTTTTTTTTTGAGACGGAGTTTTGCCCTTTGTTGCCCAATCTGGAGAGCAGTGCTGCGATCTCAGCTCACTGCAACCTCCGACTCCTGGGATCAAGCAATTCTATTGCTTCAGCCTCCTGAGCAGCTGGGATCACAGGCTCCCACCACCAAGCTCGGCTAATTTTTGCAGTTTTAGTAAAGACGGGGTTTCACCATGCTGGCCAGACTGGTTTCCAACTCCTGACCTCAGGTGATCCACCTGCCTCGGCCTCCCAAAGTACTGGGATTACAGGTATGAGCCACTGTGCCCAGCCTCACTATAATTATTCTATTTGTGTTTGAAGAAATATGAAAATTCTTAAAAGCAGCCTCTGTTTAGAAGAATAAACATAAAGAACCTAAGATAGTATTCCTCAAATGGACTCCAGGTAGTACTCCTGGGTGGCCTGCTTTATGTGAGTTTATAATTTTGTTTTTAGAAAACAACAGCCAAATGACAACACACTTTAGGAATTAAGGCTGGTGCTATTGATAGACAAAAATAGTGAAAAGATTGAGCTGTCCTACTCAGTAGAACAATTTAACATACCACAGTACAGGTATGTTAAATTCTAAAAAACCTTGGTACACATGTGGTTGCTCATGCCTATAATCCCAGTACTTTGGGAGGCCGAGGCAGGAGGATCACTTGAGCTCAGGAGGCTGAGGCATGAGAATCGCTCAAGCCAGGAAAGTGTAGGTTGCAGTGAACTGAGATCGCACCACTGCAATCTGATGTTCTATATGAAGATCCCATCTTTGTATCCACCAATATCTATCAACTGTTCGTGATTAATAGGAAAAGTAATAATTGCAAAATAATTTCCTCTTTATGCAGTATTTTAAAGAATTTCTCAGCATACTATTTTGGGGTTTGAATCAGTGATTTGAAAATTTCTGTGCAAAAAAAAAAAAATACTGACTACAAATTGTTTTCACCATAATAAATACAAATCAAATGATGGTTCATTATACCTGAAATTAAAAAAAAAAAAATCAAGCTGATATAGCTGTACAAGCAGTACAGTGTTTAAGGAGTTGGCTGAGAGCAGTGGCTCACACCCATAATCCCAGCCAGCACCTTTGGAGTCCAAGGCATGTGGATCACTTGAGCCCAGGAGTTGGTGACCAGCCTAGGCAACAAAGAGAAACCCTGTCTCTACAATAAAATAAAATAAACAAAATTAGCCTGGGCATGGTATTATGTGCCTGTAGTCCCCACTACTCGGGAGGCTGAGATGAGAGGACTGCTTGAGCCCGGGAAGCAGAGGCTGCAGTGAGCCATGATCACACCACTCCACTCCAGCCTGGGTGACAGAGTGAGACCCAGAATAAAAAAAAAAAAAAAAGTATAAGGAATTTATATTTAGTTTTATGTTTGTACACATGTAATTAACATTATACTAAAACTAGTAAACTTTAGCAGAACTTGAGATTTTTTCCATTTAAAGAGTCTGCTTTTTGTAGTTGTGAGCTGTGAGTGGCTAGTGTATTGTTGGTGTTGCTGAAGGGAGGGTTGATCCTTCATTTGTTTGATACCTGCATTCAAGAGAATCCAGATTGTGTTGGGGAAGGGAGTGACTGTACTCATGGCTAACTTGAAGTATTAAAATAAGGCTGCCCCGAAAACCTTCTTAGTCACACAGGATCCCTGCAGCCAAAAGAGTACATGTTCCAGCTGCACAGAACAGAATGCTCTCAGCTTGCACAGCACCTTAGGTGTAGAAAGAATACACAGCTAAGGGAATGGTGTGGAGAAAGAACGTTGGAAATGTTCACATCCAGGTGGCTTTAGGGTCCTAAGGAGTGGAGAAGGATGGGACTGGGAGGTCTTCATGGAACTGTGTAGGAGTTTCCTATAGATAAATTACTGATCCACCATTTACTATCCCCAGTAAATGATGGTTGAATTAATATGTAACCAACTGCATTGTATCTAAAGTCTTAGAACTAGTCAGGTGCTCCCCACAATTAATACCATTTCTTACCCTGTAATCCTATCTGATTTTTAACAAACCATTAATAATTCTAAGCATAATCTCTATTTTGTTGTGTGGTTTTTTGGTAACTGTTTTAAATTAATCAATTTGTAATGTAAAAAAATAAATAAAGAGTCTGCTTTTTTTTTTTTTTTTTTTTTTAAAGAGCCCATTAGAAGATTGAAAAACACTGTCCCCAAGGAATAACGTCCTCAAAATACATAAAATACATTATGGTATAAGATATCAATGTTTTTCACATAAAGAAAAAAAAACACAGGAGTTAAAGAAAGGTATAGAAAGTTTAAGAATAACCTGCAAGTATCAGTAGAAAATATTAAGAAATCTGAGAAACTATTATAAGCTTTATCAGAAATAAAAAATAAAAAAAAATTTAAAAATAAATAAAAAAGAAATCTGAGAAACTACATACCAAATTAAGTCTTTGAAGGAAAATAAAACCCATTTTCATAGAAGTATAAAAAATTGTCACTGTTTATATTTATAAAAACATTAAAAGTTTTCATGGCTATAGTGCCCACACACACACACACACACACACACACTCATATTTTAGATATTAGAAAAACAATCTAATGCTTGCCCTTGCAGTCTTAAATGAAATATAAATATATCAAAAAATAAATTATTGTCAAAATATGATTAATAAATAAATTATTAAACTGCTAGAAGCTATATTAAGAGCAATAAAAACCTGAATGCTTAATGTATACTTTAATCATTACAAAACTCAGCTTCCCTTTGGGCAAATTTGGCTGAAGTCATAATTCTTTCCTGATTTAAAGATATTTCAGAAACATGATAATTTTAAAACAAAAAATAAAAAAGTAGCTTGGACTGAAGAAAATTGGATAGGGAATCAAGAAACAGAGGTATTATTCCTGGTTCTCCAAATTATTCTGTGTGGCTCCAGGCAAGTCATTTATAACTCTCAGTTCTTTGCATTTCCTAGTAGAATGTCTCTAAAGAGCCTTCCTTAGTGCCAGGTAGCTCACTTTGCATCTAAAGAATGTTGCTGAGTCTATTAAGACCAAAAAGTCTATGAGAGAGGAGACACAGGGCCATCTCTGAGAGATATGTGTAAGAGACAAGAATGGTAAAAAGAACATACCTTCAAGTTTTGGGGTCGTGTAAATTTGTTGAGAAGTGCAGTCTGAATGAGCTCCCACCGGCTCCCGGCAGTTCGCTCACCATTCTTTCAGAAAAAAGAAAAACATATGAGGAAGCTATTCTAAGTTCTTTTGCATTACAGAATCAAAGGTCAAACAAGCAAGTACTAAACCATTTTTCAGAGACTAAAAGAACCTTGGTTTTGTTCTTACCTCATCTTCTACTGGATACAAATTTTGTTCTGAACAAGGCATTTTAACGTGCTTGTTATCCCACAAATCTTTATAATGTGTTGGAAAAGGTTTAGGAACTTCTCCTGCTCGCAAAAGATCTACCTGAAATTGAGGGTAAACAAAATTGTCAGTGCATAAAAACTAAATGTAACTTCTACAAAATAATCCAAAGTAACCAAAGCAAATGCCATAAAATAACCAGCTCCCAGGCAAGAAACGCCAAAGAACCCTTCAGCTCTTTCCATTACTCACCTCCATTCAATCAGGTTCCAAGTCACTAGATCCAGTGTATATTCTAGCTCCAAACCCTCTAAGAATCCTTCTTTGTCTCAGCTTTTACCAAGTGCTTCCTATCCTTCTCCCTAACTCCAGCTGTTGCTAGACACATTCAGTCCCCAGAAAACCCTTACCATCACTTTGGAATAACATTATCTATCTAAAGAACTTCAGGCTTCTAATGCTATAAGGCCTATACTCTGATTCCAGAGGTCATCCTGATTTTCATATACTTTCTTATCAAAACACTATTCATTCCAAACAATTCTTAAACAAGATTTAAAATTCCTTAAACATAGCAAATTCATTTTCCTATCTATATGTCTGTATACATACTACTGTAGCTTCGCTTTTTAATACCACTACTACCAATTGCCACCTCCCCGCTTTATCTATTTAAATCTCTATTGTCACCTTCATATCTCTGCCAAGTTTTCATTATCTTTATGAAGTCTTTAGAAACGTTAAAGTAGGCAGTTATTTATCTTGTTTTGTTAGATTATTATAATGCTAAAGCACACTTGTTTTCCTTTCCCTCATTGGATCCCAAAATCCCTGAACATAACCATATTAACTTTGTATTCTGAATATTTAAGATAGAACCTGGCACATGCATATGTGTATGTGTATGCAGATACATGCAAATATATATATACACACATATGCTACTATAATAACTATTAAGTAAATGTTTGAGGAAGTGTTACAGTAGGTAGCCAGTCAGACATGAGTAGGGCAGGACAGGGCCCCTACTACCATGAGGAATGTCAGGCAACCATCAAGTGATGCACAGGCAGCTGTGAAACTGCCTCTCTAAAATAGTAATTGGATGCAGCCGGTAACAGGGAAAGGAGTCACCCAATACATAGAAAAACCTAAAACTGGTGATCAGCAACATCCTGGTAAGATCTCAGGAGTTGGGCAAGTCAGCTCCAGCATATGAGGCAAAATGGCAGAGTTTAACTGGTATATGGCCTTATAAGAACACTCTACTGGTAAGGGAAGAATGCTTCAAGCAAGCACGTGTACAACTGCAATAATCACACTGTGCGTGCAGACAGCCCACCTCAAAGGAAGAATCAGGGGAGAAGGGGGCACAACACCCTGGAAGCACGCCAACATATAAAACCTCAAGTCAAAGGTCAAACTATGTACTTGATCTCTCAAGTTGCCTGCTTGGCCCTCTTCCACGTGTACTTCCTTTCATTCCTGCTCTAAAGCTTTTTAATGAACTTTCACTCCTGCTCTATTTTCTCTTTTTTATTCCCATGCTTATTATCTCAGTGATTTTCAAGCTTTTGAAAATAGCAGAATCCTTTTTTCCCCTAAGAAATCTGACATAAAGTTGTTTAAAGTCAAACCAAAGCTATTTTTAGAAATACAGTTTTTATAGTGACTTTTACTTACTCTAAAATCAATAAGTGACGATGGGACAGTTTTAAGAACAAAATTTGAAATTAACAGTTAGGGATGAAAGCTAAAGCTTACATAAATCTACCATTTAGTTTACATTTATCTGTCTTACACATTATTAAGAAAATCCTAATTCACACACCTATACAGTTGCAAACGGTAACATTTTAAAAACTGTTTGATATTAGGCTAACTTCAGATAAAGGATAGCAAGAGAAGTTGGCTCTGTGGTCTGCACAAAAATAGGTTATCTTGGCAAAAACAGCTTGTTAAAATGTGGAATTAAGCATCTTCAAATTTGATTGTATAGTTCTTTTTTAACAAGTTTTTCACTGTTAAAAATATAATTTAGAAACGAAATTTGTATCAAACTTCAAAAGAACCCCTGAAGCACCTCTATGCAGCACAATTCAGTACATACTGTTGCCTTGCTTATCTCTTATCTGGCCTCTTACATTACCTCTTCTGGCTCCCGGTGTATTCACACTTGTTTTCCTTATATGCAGCTAGCTGTCTGATCAATCTTGCTACAGCACAAATACTGTCTGCACAGACATGAATGAAGTCTGGTTCCTGGCACTTGAAGTCCTCTATGATATGAACCTAATCCAATTTTCAAGTCTCTTCCTCTATTCCCCATCCAAATTCCACACTCCAGTAAAGGCACTGTTTTCCATCTCTAAAACAGATAGTTTTCAACCACACAGCCTTTTCTTATAAATCTTGTATATCTGGCTGGGTGCGGTGGCTAACGCCTGTAATCCCAGCACTTTGGGAGGCCGAGGCGGGCGAATCATGAGGTCAAGAGATCGAGACCATCCTGGCCAACATGGTGTAACCCCATCTTACCAAAAATACAAAAGAATTAGCTGGGCGTGGTGGCATGTGCCTGTAGTCCCAGCTACTCGGGAGGCTGAGGCAGGAGAATTGCTTGAACCCGGGAGGTGGAGGCTGCAGTGAGCCGAGGTCGCGCCACTGCACTCCAGCCTGGTGCCTGGTGACGGAGTGAGACTCTGTCTCAAAAACAAAAAAAAAAAAAAAAATCTTGTATATCTGTCCAGAAGTCTCCTATCCTACTAACTCCACCTCAGAAATTTATGCTCATCTTTTAAAGATCAGCTCAAACCCCATAACTTTGCTCAATGTTACTGCCACTTCTAAACATGTCAAAGAATTCTGAATTTCAAAATAGTTAATCACATCTACACTAAACTGTATGTTAAAAGGGATCATGTCAATTTTTTTAGTAGTGCATGTGAAATCTACATAAAGATTAATAAATGAAATGAATGTTTAAGACTACCCAGCAAGTGACAGAAATCTAAAACTGGATTATCATGATGGTCACATAGCTCAATAAATGGACTCAGTAACACCAAATTGAGCACTTAAAATGGGTGAATTTTTATATACCTCAATAAAGTTATTTTTTAAAAGCAAGAACACACAGAAAGTACAAAAGAGGTTACTAGGAACTAGGGGAAGCAGGGAAGAAGGTATAATAATTTAATATGTACAGAGTTTCTGTTAATGTAGTGTTATGATATGCACATTGGTTTCTGTCCAGGTCCGTGGCTCATAATTGCCATAGCCCTTGTCTTTTGTTATAAAGTTAGTCTTTAGTTATGTTTTGTTATAATGTTGTTATGACATTATAATGTTAAAACAAAGACCATAACAGCCTTCTCCGAAAACAAACCCCCTTCTTGCCTGGGGACTATATTGCCATTGCAGGACTAACGAAGTAGCCACAAGATTAGAAATTATGGTTTAGGAGCTGTGTAGCTGGAGGCTACAAGATTTTGACCCTCCCTAACCTGCAAAGATCAGTGCTTGAGATACTTTGCAAACCCTGCACTTGATGGATCAGCTGGCCCCACCCGGATGGATAAACTGGCTCTTCTGATCTTGTGGCCCCCACCCAGGAACTGACTCAGCACAAGAGGACAGCTTCAACTTCCCATGATTTCCTCTTCTGATTCAACCAATCAGCACTCTTGACTCACTGGCCTTCCTCCCCCACAAAATTATCCTTAAAAACTCTGATTCCTGAATGCTCGGGGAGACTGATTTGAGTAATAGGAAAACTCTGGTCTGCTGCAAAAAAAAAAAAAAAAGGGTTGGGGGGCAAAACTGTATAATGATTTAAGGACACTAAACCATACATAACTTTGAATTTTAGGGATGAATGCAGGATTGTGCAGTGACTGCAGAATACTATAAATTGAGTAAAAAGAAAAAAAAAAGAATCCAATGAGGTTTCTTAAAAATACTGAAAATATTTCAACTTTATCAGCTGACAATGATTGCTAATTTGTTAAGTTCTATATTATTATTTTATTTCTTTATTCTGTAGACTTCTCAGTATTTTATATACGCAGAAAACAGAAGACCTTTCTAAACCTTGGTCTGTTTTTCCACTTAATAAATATCACAATAAATGAGGACTTCCAGTCTTCTCTCATCATCGGTAAGGGGTGCTACCTACCCGAATAGTTACTGTGTGATTGGCAGATGGTCTCAAGAGAGGCAGCCGGATCCCACACCAAGGCATTCTTCTCATCTCCTCAATGGGAGTTCCAAGCCACTTCTTATCTGGAGAAAGGTGAGGCGGAACGTATTTAGGGATCTTCCTTTCTGTTCTTTGATGTTTGGTCTCGCATTGTTCTTTTCTAAGGTCAAGACAAATGTATCTAGTCACAAATTATTTACTGTTTCAATTCCATTAGATACACAAGCACAAAACTTACCCAGAACTTCATTGTTTAAAGTACGCATACTTGCTCACTTACTTTATATGTTTTATATTTACAATCAAAAGAAAAACTTATAAAGCTTATAATAAAACTCACGAGCTTATTTTCAACAGCCTGTGGAAGAAAGTTCCAAACACATGTAAATCGCCTTCTCAAAACAGAAATGAGTCATGGTTCACAGTATCATCTACATAGTAATTTTTAATGAAGTGAACTCACTCTTGCATGCTGATCGCACTATTTCAGGAAACTCAGATCACAGAAATCATTGAGGGGATTTAAGATTCCATATGGGGTAATGGCAAAATATAAGCTTTGTAATCAGACACACCTGGACTTAAATCCCAGAATTACCATTCAGAAGGTACATGATTCCAGCAAATTCTCTAACCTAAATCTCAGTTTTCTCATTTAGTAAGTACAATACCATCTGTCTGCCTGTCACCACATTAGACAAAATATAAAAAGTGTAATATACAATGGCCTAGAAAAAAAGTCTAACTGAAGAAACAGTAGCTACTATCAACCTAGTATTTTCATGTTCTAATAATTCCCATAAATACCAAAAGTAAGTTCATAAAAATCTGATTTCTAGTATGTATTTTACTTCTTGTTTTCTGTTTCTAGCCTTTTTAGAGTTTAAACTTTGGAGTCTAAGTTTAAATTTAGCATAAGTAGTTAACAAGAAACATAACCATTTCTTTGCTTTACTAGAAATCATAGCTTCCTTAAACTCCCTTACAAAACTATAAAGCATATTACGTTATTGGAAAGATACTCCTAACAGAAAAAATTACCTTCTGTCCTCTGCTTTGGGCATTCTCATGAAATGATCTGTGATTTTAGAATCCTTTTTTCCATGTTGCTTGGAATTTCTGCATTCTACATTCAGGCTAGGAATATTTCCAGGTAGTTTAGCATTTAAATCATTCAATCCAGTGCGACTTTCTCCTCCTTCAAATTGGAAATGTAATCTACCTTCACCTCCCTTAGTAGAGTGCCGTTTCCTAAATTCAGTGTCAGCTTCTCTTGCTTGGCACCTTGAAGGTTTATTTGCTGTTTGGGAGGAACTACCATCTTCTTGTTCATCAAAACCTGGACTTGTCTCCTCATCTGCTTCTGAGTCCTGACAACTATTTTTGGAATTATCTACATCCATTGGTGACTCAGGTTCACTTTCCTTCTCAAATGGAGGAGAATTTCCTAGGCAACTTTCTTGTCTACTCAATTTGTTGTCATTTTTTGGTCCAGTACCAACATCCTCAGAGCCAACATCTGATAACGGACTCTCTGGCACCACGTTTGTCTCCTCCTGCTGACAACTTGCACAGTCTTCCCCAAGATGGCAAGACTTGCTGCACCTCCGGTGGCTTCTGCCTTCTCTGGCCTGTTCATCTTCTGTAGTCTGCTTTGCATTTGCAAGCTTTCCAGTTGTAAGAAACTGTTGATTGTCTCTATTTTCTTCACTGTCTGTGTCACTGTGATCATCATTTTGAGGTGACCGATCAATGTTAGCATTACTAAACTGCTCTGATACCAGAGTTACAGTCTGAGGTTCACTTTCCAAAAGCTGCTCCATGTGTTTCCCTTCATTTTGCCACTTACACATCGTTGCAGTCTGATGCTGGTTCAAATATTGCATACTTTTTTCAGTGGGTGACTTATCAAGACTTAGCTTAGAAACATTTTCTAATTTTTCTACATTATGTTGGTACAAGTTATCTTTACGTACAGAACTCATCATGGATTCTATTCTTGTATTGTTGTTTTCTTTACTATCCAAACTACAAGAGAACAGAAAGAACTAAAAACAACTTATAATACAAAAAAGCCACTTATCCAATCATACCTAGTATCACAGCAGTAATTAAAGTTCATGTGGTTACCTGAGCACACAGCATGTTCTTCTGTGACTCCATGTCTCTGCATGTGCCCCTAATGCCCTGCCCCCAGCCGTGTGTCTGGCAAACACCTGCCTTTCCTTCAAGTCATAAATGTCACTCACCTCTCTATGAAGTCTTCTTCTTTAGGTACCAAAGGTAAAGTTGAACATTTGTTTCTTCTATACACTAATCACCACTGTGCCTTGCTCGCACCTCTACTGCTGCATCTATCACGCTTGGCAGTAATTATGTGTTTTTGTGTCTGTGGCCACTGCTACAGTGTAAGTATCTTAAAGATACAGACTATTCCTCTCTCACCTTGGTGTCTCCAGTATACAGGACAGTCCCTGGCACACAGGACTCTCTAAAAAATTGCTTACAAGTTGATTTCGAATGAACATAGGTAAAGGAGAACAGAAAAGCATGAACAAAGAGAAAATACTAAAGCAGCAAGATAAAACATCCATGCGTTGTTATTCATTTCTCTATATAGGAATGTTTCTATACCTTTCTGATTCCGCCGTCTCGATTCCTTTAGTGTCCATCCAACTGGTAATAGTCTTTTGTTTGTTAACTATAAAAAAAAATGTATATTCATACATTCCTTCAAATAGAAAAAAATTTACAGCATATTATACATGCAAGGCACTATGCTAGGTTCTACGGTTAAACAAAAGATTAATAACTCAAGTATTTGCCCTCAAGTAATAAGGGATACGACAGAAACATAAATATTAATACATATGACATAGGGTAGAAAGTGACTGGTGCCGAAAAGAGTTGGTATGGCCTAAAGGATAAAAGCAGCATAGGCTATGGAATCAGAATATCTGGATTCAAATCCTGGCTCTTCCATTAGCTTCCTATGTTACTTTATGAGTGGTCATTTCTCTGTGTCTCAGATCCCTCATTTGTAAAACATGCAAAATAACAGTATCTCTCATGAGGTAAGGCTTAATTTAAGTAAAAATAATTCATGTAAAGCATTTAGGGCATTATCTGGTTTATGCTTAGTAAATGTTGATTCTTAATTATCATTATTATTAAAATAGGTCCTGATAAAGGAATTAAGGTTATTTCCGAGGAAGAGATTACTTCAGTGAACAGGAAAAAGTGGAAGTGGGCATAATTAGGTAAGATTTTTTGGGAAGAGGTAAGCCTTGAATTACGCCTTGAAAAGTAAACATGTAGTCACATAAAGAGAAAATAAAGAAAGCAACAAAAAATATGGTTGAATAGTCAGCCAGGATCATATCATACAGTAGGACCTTGAATGACCCACAAAGAGAAGTACAAAAAGATGTTGCAAGATATGATTCCTCTCCTCTAGGAGGCTCACAGTCATGCGTGGCAGCCTGGAGGATAAATCTGAGGGACAAGAAGGAAGAGCCTATTGCCGGAAACCACGGAGGAAGCTACTGGTCCAGGTCAGTGGATCCTAAACTATCTGGATCATCAGGAAGCCGGCAATAAATGGACCTCGGGGCCACACCCCAGTCCTACTGAATCAGAATCTATATGTAAGTAGGATGAAGGCATGATGGGAGCTGGAATATATGTTTTTTTCCAAAAGTGATTTTGATGATCCACTAGATTGAACAACTACTGCCCAAGAACATAAACTAGTCCTTGTGAGAATAGTAAAATTGAGGGAAGTTATTACAACCTTCACAACAATAGGGGAGGTTAAAAGTGACTTTAACCAAGCTTTAAGCTTGAGAGACTTGAAAAATGATGACATCCTTAAGTAGAAATATGGAATATAAGAGATTTGTGTTTAGGAAAAAAAATATGATTAGGTCAATTCTGCACATCCTAATTTGAGATCCAAAGAAGTAACTACATAGAAATGACCAGCAGACAGTAGCAAAAGTAGATTTGATAGCTCAGGAGAGGGAGATGCAATATAAACAAATACAAGCCACATTTTATATAACCATTAGAAATAAGTATGCTGTCGAAGTTGAATATACTGAATAGGGACTAAATGTACATCATATTTTATTATCAGAAATAAAATCTTAAACATTCTCAAATGTTTAAGGTTTGAGACATTCACTAAATTGCAATGTAAGAATCTCAGCATCCTATGTCATAGGATCTTTCTTATTTACCTACCTTTCCTCAAACACCATACTGAGCAAAACAGATGCAGCCTCAAATATATGAAAATCAATGGTTTATTTATCATTCAGATAATGGCATAATCAAAATACATTTCAGACAGGGAAAATTTTATACCAGAAAAATATACCTTCCACAAAATACTAATAATGCAGCTAGTAAAAGTCTTTGATTAGTGTTTCAAAAAAGTTTATATCACAAAAAAGTAATTATACATAGTGATTTCTTACTGTTAAACATCATTACTTTAGTGATTTTATTTAGTATTTCTGTAGTAGATCAGGCTTCAGAGAAAAAATAAGCTTCAGTCAGAGGGATGAACCATTTGATTCTGAAACTTTTTCTATAGTTTCGTCTTCTCAATTTTTCTAAACTGTACTATAGACCAAATTACAGACCAATAAATGCCAAAACATTCATTTTTTGAGTCGGTTTAGAAGTTAAAACATCTTTTTTCTATAAAGATTAATGTTAAGATACAAAGACTAGGTTCCTAAAATACACACGAAGCACATACTACAGTCATATGTCTACAGAACCTAAAGACTGCACACATTATTTCATGAAAAACCAGGAGTGTTCCAGTGATGGTGAGGAAGAAGAGAGCTCCCTCCTATAGCCCTGACTCTGAGAATGTGTTCTCTCTCCAGCTTGACGCTTCCTGAAGCCTGAGGAAGGGATGAAGGAGGAAAAGCAAGAGGTGAGGAATCAGTATCTTCTGCTAAAAAACACTGCTCAATCTCTCTTAGGGCCTGAGAGAAAGGACTGCTTACTGCTCTTTCCAATATCACTACTTTTGTCTTCCTAAGGTTTCCTTCCCAACACACCACAGGACTATGTCAGAGCTTTATCTTTCTTACTCCTGAAGGAAGCATAAAATGATGCTTTCCACGTTTCCTAGAAATTTTAACTAGAAATAGTTAGAGCATACAAAAAGAGAGGCAATAAGAAGTGATGAAAAGATATAAGATCTTTGGTCAGATAGTCTTGTGTTGAGATCTTTGTTCTGTCATTTACTAGCACCCTCTTGGTCAAGTTACTTTACTTCGCTAAGCCTTTATTTCCTCACCCAGAAAATGAAGCTAATAACACCTACTTCTAAGAGTTATGCAGATCAATTACAATGTAAAAGTCACAGAAAATATTGTGTCCTGCCTCACAAAGCAGCAAATATATTATCAATATGTTATCAAATATGTTGTATCCCAACATTTCCACCTAGTTTTTTTTTTTTTTTTTTCCCACTGAGAGTAATTCTCCCACTTTGACTTCACATCATTTACATTTATTCTCATCAGTAACATTACTGAGGGTATTTTAATCAGCAGGTCATTCAATTAACAGCTATAGGTCATTCAATTAACAGCTATATACAAGCAAGACACAAATGCCATAAAATTCTCCAGCATTTCAAAGAACACACCACTTTCACAAAAAGTCTAAAGCAACAGATTTGGATAAACCCTTCATCATCACAACGCAAGTGTGCACAGTCCTTTTCTTTCTTCCTTCCTCTCCCTCCCTCCCTTCCTTCCTTTCTTTTTCAGAAGTGGAGTCTCACTATGTTGTTCAGGCTAGATTGGAACTCCTGGGCTCAAGTGATCCTCTTGCCTTAGCCTCCTAAGTAGCTGGGACTACTGGTGCATGTCACCATGCCCAGCAAGATTTGCGATTTCAATCAATATAAGAAATGTGCCCAGGGAGATAAATAATATAAAATTTAAAGATACCCAATAGATATCCATTTCTCTACACTACCTACTTATCCTAGGATAATTATATATAAAAATTTAAATACCAAGTTCCTAAAGGAATCCCAAAAATTCTAACAATGGGGCTTTTGTTGAAATACAGACTTTGAACATTCTGTTAATGTTCAAAGTTTGTGTCCAGTGCCAGGTATTAGATAGCATTTACACATGTGAAATACAGCCCCAAGTATTCATTTGGTACCTCTTCTGCAGAAATCTTAATTAAGATCCAATCAGTGAGGACTGACTGCCCCCACCCATATTGGCAGCTAACTCCTCCTCCTTTACATGCAAATAAGGTTAATGAAACCACAAATTATCCTGTCACAGAAGCTGAAGTACACCTGAATATAAACCAGATGTTCACCTTCAGTTCCCTCTCCCCTATACCAAGTTCTCTAAAATCTATACCCTAAATTTTAAATCCATCTCTTCCTTATACCCTTTAAACACATCACTTATTAGACAACTGCCATTTGTTTCTTGCAACTAGTCTCCCTGTCTACAGTCTTGACTATCCAGTGTTCTACAACTACAAATGACCAGTTATTTTTCAGTGAAATAATACAGACAACATAAGAATGCATCACACATAGTAAGGTTAAGTATTATTTCATGAAACATTTATTTCAGTTATAAATATGGCTTATTTGCCAGGTTACATATATTTCTTACTCTGTGTACCAGACAAAGTTTATGCTGTGGGTTATTGTTAGAAAAGTCCAAAAGCCACTGCTTAAGCCATATTTTCTAAAATATTAACCAAATGGTATTCCCACTCTTAAAGCTTTTTAGTGGTTTCTCCATTAACTGCACAATAAGGTTGAAATTCCTTAAAATGGAACTTGAGTTTCTTCATGATAAGCTCCCGCCTATCATCCAGCTTCATCTGACACTCCTCTGTCACCTTATGCTCTAGTCTTACCAACTTTTGCATGTCTTTTTCCCTCTGCGTGTATAGTTTTCTTCTCTGGATTTATACAGCAAATCTTGCTCATCTTTCAAGGCTTAGTGCAAGTCTGCTCCTTACTGCCCCTTAGTTCTAAGACATCTAAGTGTACACCCTTCACCAGAGAACTGCCTGAGCTCTGCCAGCCTCTTGCACTGTTAACCAATACATCCTTTTTGAAATGCTCTCCTTTACCTGACACAAGCCAGGCTTTCCTCCCACCTCTGCAGCCGCTTCTCTTCAGTCTACCCTTGAACGTAGGTGTTCCTAAAGCCTCTGCCCTAGGTCACCTTTACTTCTCTACATGTTTATATGTTCTTAACTATGCCCATAGCATCCATTATGATGTTTATGCCAAAAACTCCCCAATCTACAACTCCAGCACAGAAATAATTCTTCTGAGGTAGAAATTCAAGTAGCCCATTCTTTCCTGAATCCACCCCCTTCCCTATTGCCAGCATTCAAGTCTAAGCTACAATTATTTCCAACCTAGATTAACTCCTTAACTGAGTCTTGGGGCTCCACTTAAGTTCCCCTTCAATCCATTCTTTATTTTCTACACACCAGCCACAGACTTTTCAACAAATCTAATGAAGTCACTCCCCTACTAAAAACACTTGAGTAGCATCTCATTGCCCTTAAAGTTCAAAATCCTTAGCACTGTCTACATATCCAATTTGATTGACTTTTCTCTACCACTCTGCAGCCTCATCTCTTTCTGCTCTCTTGTGTTTACTCTACGCATCAGTTGCACTCTTTTTTTTTTTTTTTTTTTGAGGCGTAGTTTTGCTCTTGTTGCCCAGGCTGGATGGAGTGCAATGGTACGATCTCCGCACACTGCAACCTCTGCCTCCTGGGTTCAAGCGATTCTCCTCTCTCAGCCTCCTGAGTAGCTGCGATTACAGTTGCCCGCCACCACGCCTGACTCATTTTTTCTATTTTTTGTAGAGACGGGGTTGCCAGGCGCGGTGGCACACGCCTGTAGTCCCAGCTACTCGGGAGGCTGAGGTAGGAGGATCGCTTGAGTCCAGGAGTTCTGGACTGTAGTGTGCTATGCCGATTGGGTGTCCGCACTAAGTTGTAGTGGGATGGCGCCTGTGAATAGCCACTGCACTCCAGCCTGGGCAACATAGCAAGACCCTGTCTCTATTTAAAAAAAAAAAAAAAAAAAGAGAGAGAGAGAGACAAGGGCCAGGCAGGTCTTGAACTCCTGACCTCAAATGATCTACCCACCTCGGTCTCCCAAAGTGTAGGAATTACAAGCGTAAGCCACCGCGCCCGGACTCAGTTGCATTCCTGTAACACTTCCTTACTTCCTCTTCACCTAACTCCTCCTACTCATACTAAAGTCCTCAGAATAAGGATTTCATCTTCTGGAGGTCTATCTTCGATCCCATAAATTAGGTTAGGTAGAACAATCTGTCCTTCATCTGTCAGAACATCCATCACCTTTTATTATATTAACTTTTGCTATTGTCTATCTCTCCAGATAGATTTTAAGATATGAAGGCAGAGGCCAAGTTTCTCTTGTTCAACACTGTATGCCAGGGACGAGTACAATGCCAGCCTAGACTAATAGTTCTGCACCCTGGGACCCAGAATCTGAACAAGTGAAGTTGTTTTCCTCCTATCTAGAGGCTGAAATGCCCTACTGTTTCACATACACAATTAAGTCTTCTTGACGGCTAAGGCAATTTCTCAATCAAACCTGAAGAATCAAACAGGTGGTGGCGTCTCCTGCCATTTTCCGCCCTATGAGTGACCGCTCATCAGAGTTTCTCACCTCAATCGCACCGGGAAAAATGCGGCCCCATTCACCCACTAGTGGGTTTGGTAGCTCAACAAGTGGACCTCAAAGTGATGATGCACACAAGACCAGAAAGGAGTGACTGGAGCCCTTGGGTCCTTAGACTGAGACCAGAAGGTTAGGGCCGAGGCGAAGGACAAACATTTTTATTTCCCCACGTACCAAGCGAGGTGGCGCTGCCTCTGTGCTGTCCCGCCCGCCCTGGGACGCAGGCTGGAGAGGACGGTGGGACCCTGAGCTGCACGAGAGCGTCCTTGGTGTCGAGGACGCGCCTCTGCCTGCTGGGAAAGCTCCGGGCGTCGGAAGCAGCCGGCGAAGTTGCAGCGGCGCCCCAGCGGGGTCGCTTGGTGCAGGGTTCACAGCCGGGGCCCGCATTCATGCTGGGACCCGCAGCGCACTGTCCCCGGGCCGGCCCGGGCAGAGAGCCTCATTCACTAACCCTGAGAGGGACGGACTGCGCCTCCTTCTCAGCGTCTCCCCGCACCATTCCCTCTCTGCCGCTGCCTGCTTCTGCAATTGCTGATCCGCCGGCCTCCCAAGTCAGGCCGTAAACAGTCCCCTGCCTTCCCTCTTCCACTGGCACCCCACCTGCCTCAGCATGCGCCGCTTTGATTCGGGCTTCGTTCACTTTCCCACCACCGGAAAGCTGCCGTTAGGCGCTTCCGGCTTCCGGGGCGCACACTGCCGCAAAGCGGAAGTGTGGTGCTTAGTGGGAACCGGCGCCCGGAAGGTCGGCGTGTGAAGGAGGCGCTGGCAACGCGGGGTTACCCGCAGTTTCAGAGAAGCAACGGCCCAGCGGAACACCCAGGCTTGAGGCAGCAGCGGGAAGCACCCGGTTTGCTGCGATACCATGGAAGGAGGCGGGGGAAGCGGCAACAAAACCACTGGGGGGTTGGCCGGCTTTTTCGGAGCTGGCGGAGCAGGTTACTCGCACGCGGACTTGGCAGGCGTCCCGCGTAAGTATGGGGCCTAGCTTGCGATCATTTCTCACCGGTTCCTGCGTCTACGCCAAAGTGGCGTGTCCCCTGTTTCATGTTTTGGTTTTTTCTCTTCCTGGCATTCACAAGCTTCACTGTCACTGGTGGGTTTAGCGTATCTGCATGGCTGCTCTTTCAAGATCGAGTGTGAGGGCGACGGATCTCCTGTGGAAGCTGTCCGTGATTGACCTGGACTGGCGAGATGATGCGTGTTTTCTTAGGTTTATATCCAAGCCTCGTACCTTTTGTGTGTGATGGGCCGTGTGATTGACCCTTGATTAAAAGTAGAGCCCTTCTTTAGAAGTGAATATATCCCAACAGTAAGCCTATAGTTAACTTTTTAGTACACAGCGACATATTCTGAACCCTCTGGTAGCCGTCAGGGCAGAACATTTCAGTAATATTGCATATAAGTTAGGAATAAATATGATTTGAGACAGGCTGGGAAACCATCTTAAGGAGCTAGGAAGTAAGCTGAACTTTAAAGGTGTATAGACATGAAGAAACAAGACAGGTAAGAAAAGGAAATACGCAAGATCAGGGATACAGGGGCATGAATTTGCCTTTGCCTCTCCTCAGTTTTTTATTTTCTTTTTTTTTTTTAAGACAGAGTCTTCCTCTGTCACCCAGGCTGGAATGCAGTCGCGTGATCTCGGCTTACTGCAGCCTCCGCCTCCCAGATTCAAACGATTCTACTGCCTCAGCCTCCTGAGTAGCTGTGACTACAGATGAGTGCGACCATGTCCGGCTAATTTTTTGTATTTTTAGTAGAGACAGGGTTTCACCGTGTTAGCCAGAATGGTCTTGATCTCCTGACCCCGTGATCTGCCCCCCTGGGCCTCCCAAGGTGATAGGATTACAGGCATGAGCCACCACGCCCAGCCTCTCCTCAGTCTTTAATAAGAAAAGACCTTTCATGTCCGTAGTGTCACCTTTGTCAAAAAACTGAATCTAGAACACGAGGTGTTTTGTTGTTTTTAAGAGTCAGAACCTCATTCTGTCAACCAGGTTGGGGTGTGGTGGCATGATCGTTACTGAAGCCTCGCACTCCTGGGCTCAAACAATCCTCCCAGCTAAGCCTGCTAAGTAGCTGGACCTATAGGTACGTGCCACCACGCCTGGCTAATTTTTCTTTTAACTTATTGTGGAGATGGGGTCTCCCTGTGTTATCCAGGCTGGTCTCAAGCTCTTGAGCTCAAGCCATCCTCCTGTCGGCCTCTCAAAGTGCTTGGATTCCTAGGCCTGAGCCTAGCTAGGTACCTGTGTAGAACACAGTTTCATATTAATCTTAATATCTCTGAGTTTCACGGCACAAAGAGCACCCACTTCCTTAATGTGACGATATTGTTACATAAATTTGATTAAGATTTGAAAGTAAATTGAGGGACCGGTGAATTAACACCATTTACTGAGCTTCTGCAGTGTGCTAGCTACTTTTCTGGGTGCAGGACTGTAGCAGTTTTTTTTGTTTTTGTTTCTTTTTAAAGAGGACTTGCTCTCACAGAACTTACATAATACTGGAGTAAGCCAACAAACATAAATTAAAACATTGCAGTTAAAGTGCTGTAAAGGGAATAAAGTAGTAGAGTCATGAGATTGTGATGGAAGCAGGAGGCCATTCAAGAATGGGTTAGGGAAAACATCCCAAGGGAGTTGACATTTGTGCTGTGACCCAAATACAGTACAAATGCTTGGGAAGTGAGTATCCAGGAAAATAGCTAGTGCAGATATCCTGAAACAACAAATTTGGCATGTTTTAAGGAACAACTCTTAGGCCAATCTGTCTTCGTAGTTACAAGGAAGTTGGATCAATTGAAGATAGATCAAGAGAGATAGGGAATGGCAGTTAATGTAAGGTTTTGTAAGTCATGGTAAGGAGTTTGGATTTTCTTTAGAAAAATCACTGTAGTTTCTATGTAGACAGTGAATTGAAGGGGCAAGAGAAAGCAAGGAGTTAGGTAGGAAGTTGTTGCCATGAGATCTGTTGGTTGTACAAGGATGGTAGCAATAGAGACTATGATAAGTAACACAATTCAAAATAGGCGTTAAAAATAGAACTAACAACTCCTAATTGATGAAAAGATTAGAGCCATGGGTGATGCATAGATTTGTGAATAACTGCTGAGATACAGAAGGATTCAAAGATTGACAGGTTTTACTGTTTTCAGTGTTAGTGAATTCAGGTCTGGCCTTCTGAAAGTTTGTATGTTCTTCTGCACAGACCCACATCCCTGTGGTGATGATCCAAGGATTCTCTACGTTGCCACAGTAAATCTGTTGTCAATAGTAATATCAGAAGAAACTGCCTTGAAATACTTATATAGAACATGTACACAGAAAACCCAACCACTGTTTATCCCATGAAATTAATTAGTCTTTTCTCAGTCCTATTTTGCAGTTTACATACTTAGCAAACATTCTTGTACTAAAGTGAAAGAAATTAGCTTTATAAATGGCTTGGGCTGTGCTTCCTATAAGTTTGATAGTCTGATCTGTGTCACTGCCAATATCTGATGGGTATAAAAGCCTAAGCCAACCAGTGTAAGACCTGGTTTGGGATTGAGGATCTCAGGATCAGTCAGTCCTTAAACTGACAGATAGGGAGGATAAAATGGGAAAAAATTTTCACCTTCAGTGAGCCTGTAAAAATTGCAAACACATGTAACAGTCAGGAGCTGGATTAACTCTTAACTGAATTAACTAAAGAATTTTGTTAAAATGTGACATTTTGTTTTCTCTCTAGTAACTGGTATGAACCCTCTGTCTCCTTATTTAAATGTGGATCCACGATACCTCGTGCAGGTAAGATTGAGATTTTTACTAGTTTGGTGTGCTACCTTACTATTTAAAAAAAAAAAAAAAAAAAGCCAAGTGCTTATTATGCTGACTTGAACTATGACATACACTTCTGGAGGCAGTAAGTCTCTGGTCTCCGTTCACCCATTTTTCCTCACAAACCCTACAAGCTTGGCCTGCATCTCTCTGAAACCAGTTAACTCCCTTCAAAGGCTTATTTTTTAAAAACCAAAGTGGAATTAATTTTTAAAAGCACTCCAATGAAAGTATCGGGATGCATAATTTCAAAGTGTGTGGGTTGGCTTTTTTCTTTTCTTTTCTTTTTTGAGGCAAAGTTTTGCTCTTGTACCCCAGGCTGGAGTGCAATAGCACAATCTCTGCTCACTGCAACCTCAGCCTCCTAGGTTCAAGCAATCCTCCTGCCTCCACCTCCGAAGTAGTTGGGACTGCAGGTGTCTGCCACCGTGCCCAGCTAATTTTTGTATTTTCGGTAGAGACAGGGTTTCACCATGTTAACCAGGCTGGCTTCGAACTCCTGACCTCAGGTGATCAGCCCGACTTGGCCTCCCATACTGCTGGGATTACAGACAAAGTGTGTTTTAAAGCTCAATTTGCAATATCTGGGTTCTTTTGACTAAGGATCAGAAGTTTCAAAGAGTATATTAGGAAAGGAAGGTTGATTTAACATCTGAAAATTAATGTATTGTGCCATATCAATTTATAATAAAGCAATCAAGGAAATAATACAGTACAAAGACCATGCTTATCTCAGTAGATTCACAAAAAGCATTTGACAACATCCAGCACTCCCTTTATGATTAGAAAAACAAACTAGGAAGGCCGGGCGCAGTGGCTCACGCCTGTAATCCCAGCACTTTGGGACGCCGAGGCGGGTGGATCACGAGGTCAAGAGATCGAGACCATCCTGGTCAACATGGTGAAACCCCGTCTCTACTAAAAACTACAAAAAATTAGCTGGGCATGGTGGCGCGTGCCTGTAATCCCAGCTACTCAGGAGGCTGAGGCAGGAGAATTGCCTGAACTCAGGAGGCGGAGGTTGCGGTGAGCCGAGATCACGCCATTGCACTCCAGCCTGGGTAACAAGAGCGAAACTCCGTCTCAAAAAAAAAAAAAAAAAGAAAGAAAGAAAAACAAACTAGGCTGGGTGCAGTGGTTCACATCTGTAATCCCAGTACTTTGGGAAGCTGAGGTGAGTAGAGCATTTGAGACCAGGAGTTCGAGACCAGCCTGGCCAACATGACAAAACCCTGTCTCTACTAAAAATACAAAAATTAACCGGGTGGGGTGGTGCCTACCTGTGATTCCAGCTGCTTCAGAGACTGAGGGATGAGAATCAGTTGAACCCTGGAGGCAAAGGTTGCAGTGTACCAAGATCGCGCCACTACAGTCCAGCCTGGGCAACAGAGTGAGACCCTATCTCTAAATAGACAGACAGACAGATAGATCACTCAGTCAACCAATCTAGACATAGAAGGGACTTCAGCCTAATAAATGGCATCTACGGAATATCCAAAGCGAACATACTTAATGGTAAAGGACTGAATACATTCTCTCTAAGATCAGGAACAAAATAAGTATGTTTAGTCTCATTTGTATTCAGCATTGTCTGGCCAGGTCAATTAGGCAAGTATATGAAATGGCAGTCAAATTGAAAAATAAGTTAAATTATCTGTTATAAGTGATATGATCTTATCTATAGAAAATCGCAAGGGAAACCACAAAAATCTATTAAAACTAACAACCGAGATCAGCAAGTTGCAGAATACAAGTTCAATTTACATAAATCAAATATATTTCTAGACATTCGCGATGAACACTACAAAAATGAAGTCACAAAAAATTCATTACCAATAACATCAAAAAGCAAATACTTAGAAATAAAC